GCCGCCCCTCCCCGTGCGGGCCCGGGATCCCGGCTGCGTCCGCGGCCCGGCCCCGCACCCAGCCTCCCCGCCCTTCCTCACTCGCCGCAGCCTTCTGAACCCGAGACCCTGGAGTCTAATCTTGGACGGCCCAGCCTGGCGACGGATCCCTCCGGGAGCTCGGGGTCGGGCAGTGTGTGTGTTGGGGGGGGGTGTCACCCTCTTCCCTTCTCAAGATGGCGCCGTGGAAGAGCCCCGGAGGCCGCGATCCCCCGCCTGGCCTTCGTCCTGGGGTCTCCAGTCCAGGCTAGGCTGGGATCGGGAGGGCGGTGGCAGGGCCTGGTTGCAGGCACTCGAAGCTAGATTCTGAGGGGCTCCCCACTAGGGGTGCCGGGGGGGGGGCCCACGGCAGGTGTGAATTTGGGGAGCTCCGCCCACCCCCCCCGATTTGCAAAGACGGGTAATGCAAACGGTTGGGAGGTTTTCGTCCACCCCGGCCGGCTGGAGCCTCCGTCTGGTGTCATCTGTGGGAGGCGGTGGGTGAGTCCTGGCCTTAAAGTGCAGTTCTGGAGCCACCACCAGGCTACCTATTTACTTCATGGGTAGAGACCAAGAAATCCGCTCTGCTATTCCCATCTCGGCAAGCTGGATTACCCCCTCGAGACCTGCTGGCATAACTCACGTACTTAGTGTTTGTCCTGTCCGAGTGGCATCAAAATGCTGAATCAGTCTTGCCTTGCGTGTAATAAGAAAAATAGCACCTTCGTGTACACCTCTGGGAACACTCAGGCTTAACAGAATACATAGATTATTTGAGTTGTAAGCAAAATACAGAAGAGTGCCTGGCACAAGACCCAGAATGCACATTCTGCAAAAGCCTTATTTTGAAGAAAAAAAGTTTAGTGACCGAGTACAAGTGATTGCATTTTTTTTTCTTTTTAAAGTGGTGTTGGATATTAAACCCAGATCCTCCGACATGCAAGTGCACCACTGAGCTGCATCTCCAGCCCTTGGGTGTAGTTTTTACCTTAATAAAATTTGGTTTATTTCCTGTTGGAGATCTCTAGGAGATCTCTAGCTTTGAGCAGGCTGCCAGTGGCTTATACCTGTAAATCCTGGATCATGGTGTTTCAAAGCCAGCACAGGCACTTTGCTTTTTTTTTTTTTGGTTTTTTTGGCCAGTCCTGGGGCTTGAACTCAGGGTCTGGGCACTGCCCCTGAGCTTCTTTTGCTCCAGGCTAGCACTAGAGCCACTGGGCTACTTGCTGGTTCTTCTGTTTATGTGTTACTGAGTAATCAAATCCCGGGCTTCATGCATGCTAGGCAAGTACTCTATCCCCAAGCGACATTTCCAGCCGCACCCCTTCTCCCCCCGCCCCCCAGGAGCTGTGGCCCAAGTCATAGAGTGCTAATCTTCAGCACAAGCTCAGAGGCAGTGCTCGAGCCCTGAGTCAAGCCTTAGGACCTGCACACACACAAAAAAAAGCTTTGGAAGTCAAAACTTAGAAACTTTCTTGGCTTTTCTATGAGAATCTTGTGTGTTCCCTAAAACTCTGACAGGACCATCAAGTTGTCCCTGATAAACTACTTACTGTTCTCTAGATAAACAATTGGCAAGTGTTTATAAATTGATAGTGTGTGTTCCTGAAGGTATGTTGATGCATTATCTACGTGACATTCTATTGATGTGTGAGCATTATCTCATCAATGGACCATTTTAATTGCCAATTGTAGTCACTGCAATGTAGTACACACTGTATTAAAAGATTGTTTCCATGTGTTGTCCCTTAATTCTCAAATTAAATATGCACATTAGATATTATGAAATAAAGACTCAGACATTAAAGAATTTACCCCAACAGAATTAATATAACTGGGATTAGACTTTGGAATTTGGTGTGTTTTTTTTAGGTGAGGTGGGATGGTGGAAGCAGATTAGATTTATCATTTTATCTATAAATATACCAGTATCTATAGGTAAAGATAAGGTCTCTAAACGTAACATAGATGAGTCTTGAGAACTACAAACTCATGGATTTAATAATAAATTCCTTATTCTCAGAGATGTTTCTTATATAAACTTAAATTACATAGCATAGCTAATTCCTATGAGGTGCCTAGCTAGAATATAGGAAGGTTAAGAAAGAATCATACAGATTGTTATATGTTTTGTTACTAAGAATATAAATAATAGTTTGGTTAAAGGTGACAATAAACTGTTAAGATTGATTTGTGAGTAGAGCTGTAATCTTATCACTTGGGAATCAGAAGCAAGATCACCAGCTTGAGCTACACAGTGAGTCTCTGTCTCAGAGATCTCAAAAAAAAGGTGCTGGGAATGTGGTTTAGTGGTAGAGTGCTTGCCTAGCATGCATGAAACCCTAGATTTGATTTCTCAGTACCACTTAAACAGAAAAAGCCAGAAGTGGTAAGCGCTAACCTTGAACACAGGCTCAGGGACAGAGAGCCCTGAGTTCAAGCCTCAGGACCAACAAAACAACAACCACAAACAAAACCAAAACTAAAGGCTAATGGAATAAATATGTTAAGTCCAAAAGCTACAAAAATTTTGCAGTTTAAGTAGTTACTATTAACCCACTAGATAGAGATTGTTAACATTTCCTTATGTGGAGTACTTGAGCACATGAGAAAACAGGAAGTGTTAATTAAATGAAAATCATCATTTAACAGAGGCCTTCAAGTACTAATATCTAGGTTCTTTACTGTTTAAATGCTTTCCATGTATTAGGATTCCTCAAATTAATTTTAACCCAAGAAATGTGGCTCAGAACCTCAACTTCTTTTGGCAGTACTAGGATTTGAACTCAGGACCTTACTGCCAGACAACTGCTTTACCACCTGAGCCACACCTCCAGCTCCAGAATCTAAACTCTTGAGTCACCTTTCAGATTGCCTGTGTTTGAAACCCAGCACCTTCTTACTTCTCTGACCTCAATCAAATTAGCCTTTTTGTTCTTGTCTGAATATTGTTGAGTCGCTATATTACATAGCCACAGAATCAAGTCCTTTAAATTTCCTTTTTTTTTTTTTTCGCCAGTCATGGGGCTTGAACTCAGAATGTGGGCACTGTCCCTGAGCTGCTTTTTTGCTCAAGGTTAATGCTCTACCACTTGAGCCACAGTACCACTTCTGGCTTTTTCTTTTATGTGCTACTAAGGAATCGAACCCAGGGCTTCATGCGTGCTAAGCAAACAATCTACCACTGAGCCACATTCTCAGCCCCCATTTTTTTTCTTTTTAATAAAAAACAAGATCTATCCCCTTAGCCCAACTTAGTCTTGAATTTGAGATGTTCCTGCCTCAGCCACTGCAGGCTATCGCTACCAAGCCCTGTTAGGAAGTTTAGCTTAAAAACACCAAACAAACTGAACATTTATTTAGGCTTTACTCTTTTTTTTTTTTTTGTCAGTCATGGGGCTTGAACTATGGCCTCAGCTCTTCAGCCCCAGGCTAGTGCTCTACCACCTGAGCCCCTCCTGAGCCAGGGCGCCACTTCTGGCTTCTTCTGCTTATGTGTTGCTGAGGAATCGAACCCAAGGCCTCATGCAGGCAAGGCAAGCACTCTACCACTGAACTACCTTCCCAGCCCCCCAGCTTTACTCTCTTACGTTTTTAAATTGATTTCCTTTAAAAGGTAGTGAAATAAAGTAAATGAGGTTAAATGTCCAGTAGAGGTTCTAATTGCCATACAATAAATATGCTGTGGACCAAACTTACTACATAGTGATCAATGCTAGATTTGCTTTGTTTTACTAATTTGTGTGTTTAATTTGTTTCGTTACAGGTCTCTTTATCTCCAGAAAAAGAAAAATTGACACCTTGCATCCTGGAAGTTCATTTAGCACTGTGAAATTAGGAACTTCTTTCAAATTTGGATATGGCTAATCGAGGAGCAACAAGACCCAATGGGCCAAATACTGGAAATAAAATATGCCAGTTCAAACTAGTACTTCTGGGAGAATCTGCTGTTGGCAAATCAAGCCTAGTGCTCCGTTTTGTGAAAGGCCAATTTCATGAATTTCAAGAGAGTACCATTGGGGGTGAGATTACCTTTTTTCTTTGCATCATTTAACTGAAACATATAGTAATAAATACATTGCTGGTGTTGTGTGATTATGAATAACTATACAAGGAGCAAAAAACTTTTAGTAAGCCAGGCGCTGGTGACTCATGCCTATAATCCTAGCTACTCAGGAGGCTGAGATCTGAGGATTGCAGTTCAAAGCCAGCTAGGGCAGGAAAGTCTGTCAGATTCTTATCTCAAATTAATTATAGAAAAAGCTGGAAGTGGTGCTGTGGCTCAAGTAGTAGAGTGCTAGCCTTGAGCTGAAGAGCTGAGGGGCAAGTGACCAGGCCCAGAGTTAAATCCCCACTGCTGACTGCACCCACCCCTCCCCCCCAAAAAAAGTTTTTAGTAGATTTCATTACTTGATTCTTACCTTGGTTTTTGTTAGGATAAAAACTACATGATTAGTGGGGCACCAGTGGCTCACACCTGTAATCCTAGCTACTAAGAAGGCTGAGATCTAAGGATCATGATTCAAAGCCAGCCTGGGAAGGAAAGTCTGTGAGACTCTTATCTCCAATAAACCGCCAGAAAACTGGAAGTGACGCTGTGTGGAGAGCTTGCCTTGAACTGAAGAGCTGAGGGACAATGCCCAGACCCAGAGTTCAAGCCCCACAACCAACAACAACAAAAAAAACTGATTTTTCTGGTTAACCCCAACATGGTTGTACTATAGCTAAAATATAGATAGAAATAAGAATATAGTCAATATTTTAAGTTTTGAAAATGAAAATATTAGCTTTAAACTGAAGAGAGTTAACCTTAATTTTAATTCTATATAACTGGACTGCTTAGGTAAAATTGTACCATTTTGTAAAATTAATGTCACCAGGATATACATGTAAAATTTTTAGAAAGCATAAGTAGGGCTGGGAATGTGGCTTAGTGGTAAAGTGCTTGCCTTAGCATTCAAGAAGCCCTAGGTTTGATTCCTCAACACCACATAAACAGAAAAAAGCTGGAAGTGGCATTGTGGCTCAAGTGGTAGATTGCTATCCTTGAGCAAAAGAACCTCAAGGACAGTGCACAGGCTATGAGTTCAAGCCCTGGAGTGGCAAAAAAGAAAAAAGCATAAGTAATGTGTGTAAAGACACGTAATAGGAAAATGGGCCCTAGATAAAAAGGGTAAAAGGAGGATAAGATAGAGTAAGCCTTGCAAGCAGTAATTGTAGTAGAATATAGATGCGAGAGGAGGACTAAGAGAAGAGACAACTATGTAGTTGTCAAAAGAAGGCTGCAGATTTATGAACTAGATTTTATCAGAGAAAAGTTGCATAGCAGTGGGGGGAAAAGCTTCTTGTAGATCAAAATCTCATATACAAGATGAGATAATGCTTTTTAGCAATGTTTTTTCCGAAGTTTATTTGTATGTGTGTAATTTTTTGCGGCAACATATTTCAGCCCCAAACTTGTAGGAAGTCTTTTGAAATACAACAGATACTCATTATAGTCCATTTTTCAGAAGCAAAGCAATGCAGTTAGTGGATGTTCATAAGCAATTTGAGAATTTTATTTATAATCTTGGACCCTTGTGGTAAAATAAAGTACTGAGCTATTTTATCTAGTTAAGTGATGTTTTCCATTTTAATTGACTCACCAATATAATGATAATTGTCAGCTTTTGCATATTGTGTTGTGGTTCATATTGTTTTACTCTTTTATAGTTGCTGATAATCAGAAATATAATTATCAGGGAGTTTTTGTATCAGGGAGTTTTTGAGTTGAAAACTTGATTTTTTTAAAAAATGTTGCTGCCGGGTGCTAGTGGCTTACACCTGTAATCCTAGCTACTCAGGAGGCTGAGATCTGACAATCACAGTTCAAAGCCAGCCTGGGAAGGAAAGTCCATGAGACTTATCTCCAGTAAACCATCAGAAAAACAGAAGTGGCGCTGTGGCTCAAGTGGTAGAGAGCTTACCTTGAGCTGAAGAACTGAGAGACAGCAACCAGGCCCAGAGTTCAAGCCCCACGACCAACCAAAAAAAGAAATGTTAATGGTAATGTTAGTGGTTGATAGATTTCGCCTTTAATCCTAGCTCCTTAGGCTGTGATCCAAGCTAGCACAGGCAGGAAAGTCTGGATTCTTATCCAATTAACTGCAAAAGGCTGTAAGTAGAGGTGTAACTCAAGTATTACAGTCAAACAAAAGCAAGAGCTCAGAGACAGTGTCCATGCCCTGCATTCAAGCCCTTGTACTGCCACCAAAAAAGCAACAAACAATATATCGTAAACCCTTATTTAAAGTTTCCTTTTTAGGAAGTAGTACTGTGGCTCAAATTGGTAGAGTGCTAGCCTTGAGCAGAAAATTTCAGGAACAATGTCCAGGCCCTGAGTTCAAGCCACATGACCAACAACAACAGTTTCCTCGTTAGTGAGTAATGAAGTGTTATCTCCTAGGAAGGCTTAGTTTCCAGAAGCAGCTTGGCACAGGAATACCTGATCCAATTAATATAAAGAACTGTAAAGAAACCTGCTAGGTTGTATCTTTGCACTTTAAGCCATTTGGCTGCCAGTGGCAACATTTTCCACAGTATACAGACATTCTGGGATAAATACCGTTGGCCAAAAGCTTTTTGACTTGGCTATGTGCTCCCTTTTATCATCCAGGAGCCTGGGAATAGCATTTATTTTTGGTAATCCAGTTGTCTTCTATATATTCCGTGTAATAACAGATTGTCTACATTTCATTAAATAAGTTTTTCTGTAAAATTTCATTACTGTGTAGGAAGTTGCACTGTTTTCTAGTTCTATACAATGACTGTTTAAAAGGAATTTGTGTGCAAATTTCTGTGTTGATTTTTGTTAAATACCTTTTCAGTATGCTGTTTGGTTTCTATAGGAGTTATAATAGCGAGAATTGAAAGCTTTTTCTTTTTCTTTTTTTTTTTTTTGTTGGGCATGGGGCCTAAACTCTGGGCCTTGGCGCTGTCCCTCAGCTCTTCAGTTCAAGGCTAGCACTCCACCACTTGAGATACAGCGCTACTTCCTACTTTTTCTGCTTATGTGGTGCTGAGGAATCTAACCCAGAGCTTCATGCATACAAGGCAAGCACTCTACCACTGAGCCACACTCCTAGCCCGTTTGTCTTTTTTGAGACAGGGTCTAACTATGTACCCATTTGTATCCATTGCTAGACTCAAAACTAGCAATCCTTCTGCTTTAGTTTCCTAAGTGTGGGGATTACCTGCATGTACTACCACAGGTCCAGAGAGAATTAGTTTTTTAATACCCTTGGCTAATAGCTCTTTGCTCTTAGCAACTATAGCCGTTCCTAAGCATTTAAGGATCTCAATATTTGAGCTAAAAGTAATCAATCTCAAAGGTATCTATCTTGTAAGTAGAGTAGTAGGTATTTTTTATTTGAACTGATATGTGATGGAAAGTTATCTAGCAAATGTACCTGGTTAACTGTTTTTGCATTTCACTTTTTTTTTTTTTTGGTCGGTTGTGGGGCTTGAACTTGGTTTGGGCGCTGCCCTCAGCCCTTCAGCTCAAGGTGAGCGCTCTAGCCCTTGAGCCACAGCGCCACTTGTGGTTTTCTAGTGATTTGTTGGAGATAAGTGTCTCAGGGACTTTCCTGCCCTGGCTGGCTTTGAACTGTCATCCTCATATCTCAGCCTCCTGAGTAGCTAGGATTACAGCGTGAGCCACCGGGCGCCTGGCACATTTCACTTTTTTTTATTATTTTATGTCTAATAATATTATTGTCCTAAGCCAGGCACATGGCTCACACCTATAATCCTAGCTACTCTGGAGGCTGAAATCTGAGGATTATGATTCAGAGGCATCTTAGGCAGGAAAGTCTATCAGACTCCAGTTAATCACAGAAAAAACTGGAAGTAGCACTGTGGCTCAAGTGGTAGAGAGCTAGCCTTGTGCAAAAGGAGCTCAGGGATGGTGCCCAAGCCCAGAGTTCAAGCCCCAGGACTGGCAAGAAATCATGCTGCAATGTTGAATGATCAGTGCAAGGACCTTCTGTAGTTTGTGTGGTTCTACTAAAAATGTTAACTTGATTTAAGAATCCTTGTTATCTTCTATACTGTTTACTCCCTGGACCTTGTAGCCCTTTGATTAGGATAGGTTGGTGGCAAGATTTGTAATTTGAGAAGTTCTAGCTTGTTTGTAGTAGTTTAAAGTCTACGTGATAGCCAGCCTATGGTGGCTCATGCCTGTCATCCTAGCTACTGAGGAGGCTGAGATCTGAGGATCATGGTTCAAAACCAGCCCGGGCAGGCAAGACCACGAGACTCTTACCTCCAATTAACTAGAAATCCGGAAGTGGCACTGTGGCTCAAGTGGTAGAGGGCTCCCCTTGAGCTGAAGAGCTCAGGGACAGCGCCTAGGCCCAGAGTTCAAGCCCCAGAGCCAACAACAAATCTACATGATATTTATATTCCTGCTGTTTGCCTAAAATTAGCCTGGAGGTTATTAAAAAAGTATTGGGCATGAAAGGTTGTCTTTCTTAATTATTTCCTTATCTCTAGGCTTAGCTGTTCATCCAAGTCCTTGCTAGATGGTAGGGCTGGCTTTCTTGCACTTAACATCTTGAATATCTAAAAACTTGAAAGATTTCTAGTGAGTTTCTCTTAACACACACACACACACAATTAAGACATTTAACTATTTATACATGAATGGGTCCTAAGGGTCATTTGGAATATACAGAGAAATAGCATATAGACGATTCTTTTTCTTTGTTTTAAGGGACATGTTTGATTCCAGGTTTAATGTAAATTTTAGGTGATAGAACTTTACATGAAAATATTAGCATTTATCGGTGCTGTTGGGGTTTGTTTTTGTCTTTGTGGTACTGAGGTTTGAACTCAGCCTCAGCACTACCACTTGAGCCATGCTCCCAATCTAGATGCTGCGATGCTTGTCGGGGTGTTTCTGTTCCGCAGCACATAAGCATTACCAGGAACTTGAACTTGCCCATGCTAAATCAAAACATTAAAATAGTGCCAGTAATCTAGA